ACACACACACACGCCTCCCCGAGGGGAGGCATCTCAACCCTAGAGCGTCCTTGCGCCTAGTAGTAAGGCCAGGAACCCCGAGAAGCACCAAAGTAGCGTCCCTGTAGTAAGGTTAGGAGCCCCTAGTAGCCACCCACACTAAGGTCCTGACGGGAGGGAGGGGTAGGGAGAGAAGAGAAAAAGAAAGAGAACAAAGGAAAGGGGAAGAAGGTGTTCCCAGCTACGACACAAGCGTCCAGGGACACACCAAAGGAAGAGAGGAAAAGGGTTCCCAGCTATGACGAAGCATCCAGGGACACCCAAGGAAGAGGGGAAAGAGAGAAGGAAAGAAAGAGAGAGGGAGAGAGAGAGGGAGAGGAGAGAAAGGAAGGTGTTCCCAGCTACGAACAATCGTCCAGGGACACACCAAAGAAAGAGAGGGGAGATCCTGAGTATTCCATTCAGGAAAACCCCAGAAAGCAAAGAAAGAAAGGGGAAGGGAAGGGGGAGGAGGGGGGACTAAGGCTCCAACAGGTTCCAATGAACCTAGAAACTGGCTTCGACCGCTATGGTCGCCTTGTGCCTTGCCGAAATGGCTGGCTGCTTCGACCGCTGCGGTCACGTTCAGGCATGAGCCAGCTTAGAATTCCAAAGATGGGACAAAATCATCGTACGTACGGCCTGGGCCACCTACGCTCGCTGCGAGCTGCTCTGTATCCGGGCAGGGGATACGTTGGACATACACCCGTTCGACGGGTCCACGGGAGGCACTCTGCGGGCTCATCCCGGGTTGGCACGTAGCCAAACACACTCATGGATATGCGTACTGATGTGATAGCGGTGCCACACGCCAGCCTAAGAACCCAAATCCTGAAAAGTCCAGGAAAGTCCTAAAGAACCTGGGGGCTTGTAAAAAGAAGTAAGGCCAAAAGCTCAAGGTCGAAGACGGCGAGCGAATCGAACAGGGTGACGGCGGCTCGTGCGCATCTGCAGAAAGTGAACCAAATCCCTAAGCAATACCGTGTCGTGAGGTTCTTGGCTTAGCCTCTCGCCATTCGAAAAAATGGAAAATTGCAGGTACGTCGATTTGGCGTCCCAAATCGATTTCACAGACCAATGCAAGCGTCTTTGTTAGTGCCAGACTTGCATGGTCCCTGGCACCCCCTGCAATAATACTAAACAAATCCAGAAGGATCCCTATGACTCCAAGGGTTACACACACACACACCTCCTCCCTCCCCTCCTTCTCATCCTCGTCCATCACGTCATCACTTATACTGCACGTCTGAGCATAACCGCCTCTTATGCCTTCTCTCCTCACACTTCCTTCTTGACTTTTCATCTCACTACTCCGTCTCCCAAGTGATGTTCATATACATTTGAAATTTGTAAAACTTATCATGTGGGGTTATCCGGTCCTTTTATTCATTCCCCTCCAGACTGGATGTGTCAAGCTCTTCAATTCTCAAAGCATTTCATCACCTTGAGACTCCGGACTGGCATATTTCGATGCATTGACCCCTGTTCAACCACCCCTGGCCTGCTCGGTCAATATGCCAGTCCCAGACAGGTCGTGTTTGGGGTCAGGCTACCTTTCACATCACTTCACTCAGGTATCGCTCCATGCCGTCCGTGGCAAGCCGTCCAGTGCCTTTCTTCGAGCGCTTGCCTCCGAGGTGAGTGGGATCTCCTATGAGGGTGCCTGGAATCAGGCGGCGTAGCGTAAGGGGCGGCAGGGGCGGCAGGCATCTGGTGTGCTGGCGTGAGGGTGTGAGCAAGACTTGGGCTCCAGGCTCCAGGTGGCATGGTGCGGGTCAACAACCGCAAGGGAGATTATGTGTCCAACACCACCCAGACCTAGCCTGCCCAGCCAGGTTTTGGGCCCTCTATGTGTTGGACTTGGCTCTTGTCCGTGTACATTTGGTGTACATGTTTGCAGGTTCACCACAGCCATCCGAGACCAATTTGCTGAGCCAACTGTTTTGGGAGACCCGAAGAGTAGCGCCTTTCTAGAAAGGCGGCCCGGCAGCGATTTCTGGACTTCGAAGCATTCAACATAGTTCGGCTCTTCAGCTCCAGACATCCCGGTTTCAGGGGTGAAACCATGGTTTCCGCCCAACGATTTCCATAAAGGACCTCCGAACGATATATATGTAAAGTGTCACCACAGTGTTTCGTTTCACCACATGATGAACAAAAAGCGGTTAAGCCAAAAACCCGGGGAACCCCGGTCGCCTTCAGCTGGCGACTTCCTTCTTCACCGCGGTCGGTTCATCCGACTTCCAACGAAGGTTTGGTCCAGGTCGACGGGTCCGGGGGGTCGGAAGGTCGTCGAGGAAGGTGCGAAGGAGGCGACTTCGCTGGACCTTTCGATCCAAACCGGGTCTTAAGCAGACCCAAACGACCCGAATTTCTTGGGTCGTTGGAAGACTCAGCTCCCAGCTGTTTTCCATCCTAGCTATAGATGGTGAGTTGAACTCACCATCTGAGAGAGGAAACCCGCTGTGCCTGTTTTTTGGATTGAACGAAGCAAAAAGCCACAAATCCCATCGGCGACGATGTTCCGATGCGTTCTTTGCTTGGCTCGAGAGAGGGAGAGACGGTGCGGTTCGGGCGCTCGTCATGCGGTTCGGGCCGCGTAGCTAGCGTCGCGGTTTTCGGTGGTGGTGCTTCAGGTGGCCGAACGATGATGCAAAGGGTTGAAGAAAGATGACAGAGGATAGATTCAGAATAGATAGATAGATGATAGATTGAGTAGATATTACAGAGCTTTACAGAGTCCCCGGCTCCAAGGTGAAGAGCCTGATTTACGAGTGCTTGCATGATAGTAGGTAGGTTTATCAGAGGATAGCCAATTGAGATAAACATGGAAGTCAAACCACCCTGTCAGTTCTCTGGCACCATGTTTCATTCATTGAGGGACCCTTTAAGAGGATCGAATGGGCAGAACGTTCACGGTGGCGGTTCGACCGTGACTGGCCTGACCCACCTAGTTCAGAAGAAACCCTGGACCCTCAAAAAACAAAGAGTAACAAAGCGGTGCGGTTGGTGACCCTTGCAGAGGTAGAAGAAGCTTAGCAAAACAACATTTCACAGCTTGCCTGGTTTGATCCCGACACCAGGGTAGAAACATGTAGAAACCTACTATAGATAGA